CACGTTGGATTTGCACTTAATGGAGCAGCACATATAGGCACTGTAGAGCGAATGGGACCACCACGTGAACTATTTCCATTTAATAAAGCTTGTTCGGTCCCATGATCATAAGCTGGCGTTGAACGAATAGAATTCACCACTTGGTCCTCCATGATGGGAACCACGACATGTGCATTAGAGTTGGACGAAGTGGTCATCATGTCACACATATTATAATTGGGTGTAGTGGTCCCAATTCTTTCATGCGCTTGGCTATTCACATGTATTGGTGAAGTGTGCGTCAATGGAGAGGCATGATTTGGCATATTTTCAAAAGTAATGGCCCCATGCACATCTGCTGGCATATCTTCAAACGAGACGGCCCCACGTGCATTACCAAATTCATACACATCTTGGTCCTCGATCATGGCAAGAGATGTGGCCCCAACGTCTTGATTATTCGCATTATGCCTTTGATTATGCGTTGATGAAGGAGCACGTTGGTTGTTCTCACTTGGTGAAAGAGACATTGCACTCAATGGACCATGCATTGTCTGTACAGGGGAGACAAGAGGAATAACACCCGTGGAGACACCATTATCTGGAGCAATATTTGAAATATTACACACTGCATAAAGAAAGGCACTTTCATCAAATACAACGTGCCTCGAAATTATTACTCTGCCAGATTTATCAAGACATTTATACCCCTTATGAGAAGTGCTATATCCTAGAAACACGCACTTCTTTGACCTGAAATCCAGCTTATGACGATTAAATAATCGCAAATAAGGATAACAAGCACAACCAAACACCCTGAGAAAGGAATAATCTGGCAGGACACGATGCAGAGCTTCAAAGGGAGACTTGCCATGCAAAACAGGTGTGGGCAATCTATTGATAAGATAAACAGCAGAAGCAAAAGCATAGCTCCAAAATTTCTGAGGTAAGGAAGCCTGAGCTAACATTGTCAATCATGTTTCCACAATGTGCCTATGCTTCCTCTCAGCCTTACCATTCTGCTCCGAGGTGCCAGGGCACGAGAGACGATGCTGCACTCCATTGGCAGAGAACCACTTTTGAAGTGATTGATATTCCCCACCACCATCAGTCTGGAGAGCTTTAATTTTGTATCCAAACTGCACTTCAACCAATTTCGCAAAGTCAATAAAGCACTGAGCCACCTCAGATTTACGTTTCAAGAGGTACATCCAGGTATAACGGCTACAAACATCAACAAAAGAAACATAATAAAGAAATCTGTCAGTGGAGCATATAGGAGCTGGTCCCTAGACATCAGAGACAACAAGTTGAAAATGCTCATTATATTCTGTCAATGATTTACAGAAGGGAAACTTATGCGATTTCCCTTGCATACAAGCAGAACACACATTTACTGCTTCAGTTTTATTGAAAACAATACTACACAACTTCAAAATACGTTGAACAACATTAAGGGATGGATGGCCAAGACGTTGATGCCACAACTTCAAAGACACAGGTGATTTCGAGACATTATTCACCAAACAAGAAGACCTCTGATCTTCACAAGGCAGTAGCTGGTACAACCCGTCATCCGTGAGCCTCCCGCGAAGTAGAGTTGCTTGAGTCCAGGCATCCTTCACAAGACATTCAGAGGGATGAAACTCCATGAACACACCATTATCAGGAGTGAACTGAGAAACAGATATCAACTTTTTCTTTATGTTAGGCACATGCAACATATTCTGTAAAATCAAAGGTTTCTTACTAGAACTCAAAAAACCTTGGCCTACATGCATGATTGAAATTCCCTCACCATTACCCATGAGCAAGGAACTACCTCCAGTATAGGTGGTACCTGATTGAAAACCAGACAAATAATTCGTTACATGGTGAGTAGCTCCGGTGTCAGGGTACCACAAAGAATCCGCAGACACTGAGGAGCTAGAGCCCGAGGGAGTTGGGACAGTAGCAATATAGGCTGCTGAACCAGGCGTCAAAGAGGAATGCGATGAACCATGAGATAAGCCAGAAGCATCTGAAGGAAAACTAGGAGAAGTACCAGGAAAGAGATAGTGCACAGGAACATACGGCGAAGGAAAATAAAATGGTGTGGGAACAAAGGATGAAGGTGGAGGCATGGAGGTTACGGCGTGAGCATAAGGTTGTCCACCAGATTACTGGTGTTTAACAGAATTCCCAGCACCAGTGGGCTTTGAGCCATTCTGTTGCATCGACTCAGACCCAGACACACCAGTGTAGTCTCTATCAAAACGATGATAACACTTCTGGACCACATGTCCAAACCGGCCACACAACTGGCATTGAGGACGATTATTGTTACGCCCTCGACCTCGACCACGATATCCATTCGACTGTCCACGAGACGAATGATCTTGTGATGACCCAGTATTAACATCCTGAGTTCCACAAGAGTCAGTTTCAGCAGCACCTTCCCGAGATTGAAGAACAAGATTTGCATAAAAGTTTTCACTCAAGAACATCTTCTGTCGAGCCTCACAATCTAACAACATCTCAGTAAGAACATCAAGAGAAAAATTTTCTCGTGATGCAATTGCAATAATAGACTCAAATTCCATTGTAAGTCCAGCTAACACAACATTAACATGTTCTTGCTCAGTAACCACACTACCTGAAGCATTCAACAAATCACATATGGATTTGACTTTGGCAAGATACTCCCTAATCGTCAAACCAGTCTTTCGCTGGGAATGAAGATTATGTCGAAGAGAAGAAATCTTGGCACTGGAACGAGCACCAAACAGACGAGATATAGTATTCCAGATTGACATCGCAGTTGTAAGTCCAGTCAAGTGAGGCAGAACCTCTGTACTCACAGTAGTTAAAAGCCAGGAAGCAAGCAGTTTATCTTGCTGGCGATGAGCTGCAAACACTGGATTCTCTTCAAGTTGTCCAGACGCATTAGTGATGAACTCATCTGGTGCAACAGATCCGGCCGAGATGAACCTCAACAACCCATAGCCATCAATTATCAAAGCCACTTGATGCTTCCAAAGAAGATATGTGGATTCAGTGAGTTTAACAGTGTCATGCTTTGGTATGTGTTGAATGCCAAACATACCTCGAGAAGTTCTAGGACTCAGGGAGGAAGCATTCGGAGACACATCCTCGGGATCAACCGTCAAATCAACCATGACGCCAGGAATACACAATGTGAGAACTTAATCTCGTGCAACTACTGGAATGAAGAAGAAACATCGGAAGAAAACACCCAGGTATTAGCGAAAGATACCATGATAAGATAGCAGTTTAGCTATCTAAGAAACAAGAAATGAAATCTTTGTAATTCTTTATTAATGAAAAGCTGATTTTTTCATGAGTTAGAGAGTAGCTTATTTATACAAGCAAGAAGAAACTGCAACTGCTGTGCAACAAGCCATTAACAACTTAACTGCTCATAACAAGAAGCTAAGAAACTGTTCTAGAACTATTCTAGAATTTACAGCATACACTCGTATACATAACACTAACAACTGAATATGTTAACAAACATGGTAAAACACCCAATAATAACATTTTCAGTAGAAATAATAATATTTTAAATATTTTTTTTATAAAAAATATTAAATAAATAATAATATTTTCAGTAACGTTTTTCTTTATCCATACAACTAATTGTCTCACGGAGACTTTTCCCATGGATGTGCCCTACAAGATGGCAAGTGGATAAAGATAAATCAAAAGCTAAAAATAAATGACTTATTTATTTTCCATAAATAAAATGTATTAATATCTCACGAGATTTCATTAAAAGGCTATTGTTGTTTGACTATGACATAATTACTTGTAACATTTATTGGGAAGTTTATTTTTAAGATAAATCTATGATTTATCATGTGGGGTAGTTGATATAATATTAGACGATCAAATATATTATATTTATTGAAGTTTTATTCTTAATATGAATAAAATCAGACTTAAAAATATTTTTGAGAGTGAACACAGATATTTATAGTATAAATTTTTTGAATGGGCGGTTACAGATAAAATTTAAAGGTAAGTATCATCAGTAAAATTAAAAACTAACCAAATAAAATTTAGATTTCATGCCCACCTTATAGTATATGTGGTTCCGCCACTGTATCAAATGATCTTAGTAGTTAAATGAATGATTGTTATTCTTATAGGTTTCAAGTTAGAACACTAACAACTGTAAAATATTTGGACATTTATTATCAGGGAGTTTTCAAAATATATATTATCACATGTAAGCACCTTAGATTAATAATTTTTTTTATCTTTATATTCTATTGAGAATCATATATGGTTTATATATGCTTTATAAAACCGGATATAATGAATATGTTTTTTTATAAATAGAATAATGAACATTTAAACATCTTCAAATATAGGTTTTAATTGGCATTATAACAATAATTATATTGATTGAGTTAAAAATTAATTAAAAAAATACTAATCTAATGATAATTTTACTTTTTTTTTCATATTTTTTGAAGTATAAAGCGTCTTATTGATTATAAAATTATATATAAAAATTATTATTAAAATTATACTTTTAAAAATTATAAAAAATTATTAAATTTAACATATTATTTTTAAATGGACACTATAAAATAATTATTTTATACTAACATTTTAAAGAAATATAATGATTTTTATGATTTTTAAAATTTAATAGGCAAAATAACAATTTCAACATAATTCAGTGGCGTCTTATTTAACTTGATCTTATTTGTAAACAAAATGAACTAAATAGAGATTCACTAGAAATAATATTTTAAGTTTTACCGAAAATATTAATATTTTAATAATATTTTTAATAACACTTTTCTTTAATATTATATTTGGGTTCACTTGGATTACAGCGATGTCAGACACTTTTGGTCCCACCTGATCTTATCCGCAACTACGTGGCCTGCTTCCATTTGCCACGTTATTACTTTCCTCCTCAGATCTAGATCAACGGTCCATGTTTATCCCAACTTGTTTGAGTTTTAACTCCCCTCATTTCGTCGTTAAATATCTCTCTCCGTTCAGTCTCATCGCCATTACGGATATCGAGTTCCCTTTTAAACAACAAGAGATCTTATAGATACCCGACCTCCGGTTCAGCTTCTGATCTTTATGGGGCTACTTGACCAGTTGTGGGACGACACCGTTGCGGGTCCCCGACCCGATAACGGTCTCGGCAAGCTCCGAAAGCAATCCTCTTTCCCTCTCCGGCCTAACTCCTCCAAGGGTACGCTTTGTTAGGCCATTCCGCTTCACTACTTTAGCCGTACATCGACAAGGCAATATATCTATATCTATATATTAATATATGAGTAAAAGCAATGGAAATTGTCACTAAAAGTGATTGGAAAGCGTTGAATTGAGCTGTCGAGGAGCTGCGAATAAAGAAAAATCGTTACTGAACCATAACTTTATTATTTTCCGGTCAGCGGTTTGAGGTTTTATTATCTATTAACTTGTCGTCTTATTTTCTTTAATTTGATTCGACGATGTAAATGATCAGAATCCGATGGCGGGAGTTTGAGATCGTTCAATGATGAAACGACGTCGGAGGAAACGACGAAAGTGACACGTACGATCATGATCGTAAAATCGCCGCGTTACCAGAGCGGATCGCCCCCGGTTTCGCCGGCCGAATCGACTCCTCCGGTATCTCCTTTTTCTGGTAAAGTATATGTATACAAAAAAAAAAATCTTTGATCGATGAATTTGTCCCTTGTTTATTTCGTAAACCCCAGATTTGTGCTTACCGGGAAGGTTAAATCGGTCAAAATAATTTCTGTCATCAGAAAAGCGAGCTTTAGGAGGGTAGTTATGTCATTTGATAACTTTGTATGTTTGCTAAACGGATAAAGATAAATGCAACGTTAGGTGAATGCAAGCGTGGATTTTGTCCGAGTGCTGGGAAATGACAATAAAACCCTCCTTGACGTACAATAATGCATGCATAAGAACAAAGTTTTATGGGAAATATATCTGCCCCAGTTTGGTCCGTTTAGTAGGTTAAAAAGCTTTGTTTAATTTTGTGGGGTATAATGTCACAACAATCTACATATTTTGGTGCTAAAAATCAAAACTACACATCACGTTAAGGTTTTATTTTATGTGGGAATTTTATGTCAAGTGACACTGCTTCATTTGTTTGATGTTGGATGTCGTTGTTGTACCATTATTAAATGTTTTTGTTCTTTGAATGTTCAATTATTTAATGTGTAGGAGGAAGAGAGCCGTTCCGGTTTCGGAGAAGGTCGACATCGGATGCGTACGAGAAGCCGGGGAGCGAGGTTGGACCTCGGAGCGCTCCTCCTCCTTACGACGTGTGAGATGTGAGCCTCTCCGGTTATCGTTTACTTGACGACAAATCGATATTCGCCTAGTTCCGACGTCTTTACAGCTTAAGCTTATAGTGTAAATGTCAGTTAGAGTTTCGTGGTTTGTCCTGCAATGCAATGTGTGCACTTTTTGGCTATGCAGCTTCTATCATGGGATAATGTTTAGACGGCGCTGAAGAGCTGTGAAATATATGTAGAGATGGTAATGTACGGTTTTCTTTATTTTCCTCTCTCGTTGTAAATAAGATCATCTCCTTTCCTTAAGATTTCAATAAATTTATCCCACTTGAAAAAAGACCTTCACTCTTAACACCTTGCAGGCTTGCCCTTTGGCCTTTGTTGTGTACCCTTTCATTGTATTCTTATATTTCAAACGGTAAGATCATTTGGCAAGTACATATGCATGCTTTATGTTATGAAATTTGAATTTATAAAATTTTAATAGTGAAAATAAATTTTTAATAAAAAATATATAGGAAAAATTTTAAAAATATATATAAATAATTTTAAATTTTCAAGAGTCGACTACTTAATCCACCTATCGTCCCTTCTTACCCTATAGGAGAGAAACTACAACTACCATTCAAGATAGCTTAGAACTTTTCCGACGAAGAGTCAAGCACATAGCCAACATTACACGCACCAACTGCCAATTAACCCAAAAATTTTAAATTATTATATAATTTAAATATAAGTTTTATATTTTTTATTGATAATATATTTTTACTTTTAAAATTTTATAAATTTTCTCTTTTAACCTAAAATCCTATCCGTCCGTACCAATATTAACTTGGGAGAAGACTAGTGGGAAAATTGAAATCTTTGGGAGCTTCATAGGCTGTTGGCTTATCGTTCTCACGGAGATTGTTTTCCGGGGATAAAAAAAATAGTGAAATTACAAGAAAAAATAAGAGAAAAGTTGGTGAAGAAAATATAGTAATTTCCATGGCTTCTTTGTAACACCCTCATAGCGATACAAGTGATCCGATCCGATCCGATTCGAGGTGTCACATTAGGGCCATCAGAGTGATCTATAATAAAAATTCAGAAAAAATTAATTTTTTTGTTAAAACATGTAAAATCATAAAATAATTTATAAATAAAATAAAGATTCAGAAAACCATTCATATAATACAAACAAAATTAAAATCATACAAGTTCCAAACTCAGTATAAAAATCAAATGTGACTTACATGCCCCTAATTACGCTTGTACCATACTATGCAAACCAAAATGAATGAACTCCCATTACTGAAGTCGATAGCTGTACTGGATCGATTCTTTCAACCAAAAATGGTGAGTAAAAGAGTGAGCTTTGGGGAGCTCAATAATATAAAACTACCAAGTGATACTGAAGGACATGCAGATAAATGACAAGCATAAAAATTCTCACTGATTCAAACATCTACAGGTTTTCGTGATGAGCTGAGATTTCACTGATATTTCTTCAGGTAACAGACAAGTAGCTTATAGCTCAGAAGAAACATTCAGAAGACCAGATTCGGAGATTAAAATAGACTTATAGTGTGTTCCTCCAAAACCAGAATAAAATGTAATCCTAATTTAAAAACAGTAGTAGTTATTTCAGTAAAAACAGGTTTTTAAAATCACTGTAGTACCCTCCATCCGAATACTCCAGGTGAAATTCCACAGGACATCATCCATAAAGACTTACCCTAGACCTCTAGGATCTAGGAGTCCAATATGAATGATCAGAACAGAAATGATTTACCAGCTAGCTGAACCTCGGAGACTCTAAAATCCTACCCAATAAAACAATTTAAGATAAAACCAGTAATATCAAAAAATAGAAATTAGAAGTTGGGTTTTTATTTAAAATACAAAGTTTCCTTTCAACCGTACACCAAATGCAGTACCCCATAACAAACATTCATAAGGAATTACCCTAGACCTATAGGATCTAGGAGTCTAATATGAATGATCATAACAAAAAGGATTTACCAACTAGTTGAACCTCAGAGTTTCCAGACACCTACCTAGACAATACCCCAAATAAAACATATCAAATAGTAGACATTAATATCATAAATCAGGAGCTAATTGTACCTTGTGTCACAAATCATAAACTATATATAAAAAATGTACTTTATATAAATCAGATAAAACATTTTTGTGAATAGGGAGCACACTAGAAGATCCAGATATTTTTCGAAGGCGCTTGGAAATTATCAGGGATAGAAAATATGAACTTACGCAGAATTGATCGAATTTCAGGATCTAGATCCCTATTAAAAGGTTTAATTGCTAATGGATCTAAACATACATTCAGAGATTGATGTTTCATGCCATTTAGGATTTCAAGTGTATCAGAAAGGTATTTAAGAATCTTTACATCAGAATAAATTAAGATTTCAGATATAACCAGAGCGATTCCATTATTTAGGCCATCAGGTATATTTCAGACACTTTGATTTCTAGTGGATTCTTAGCAACTTAATCCAATAAGGGTGAAATGAAGATTTACGGTATTCAAGATTTATGTCAATTTATCAGGATATTGGGTCAACTCGAACATAACAAATCCCATCACTACGATACCTGTCAACCACTCAAATCGATGCACTTCAAGAATTTTCACACTTTAATACTGACAACACTAGTCGAACTGATCATCTTCATAACCATCATTAAACAGATCTTGAGGAACAGTACGTATTCTGATGGTATTTGTTTTATTTATATATTGCAATAGACTTCAAGATGACCAACGTACTTGTGGAGTATGACGATATAATACTTAGGTTTTCTAGGTTATTTATATATTGCAATAGACTCCAAGATGACCAACGTACTTGTGGAGTATGACGATATAATACTTAGGTTTTCTAGGTGTTTCCAGAATTATCCAATAGCATTCACTTATTTCTAGGTCATGAGGGTATTTAGGTTATTTTTGTACTCGATGTTACTTGGTCAATTAGAGTTCAAGATATTTCAGTCCTTTTAGGGTTCAAGAGTATTTTGATCCTTTGAATATTGGAGGTTATTTTAGTTATTTCACAGCTCAAGAACATTTAGGTAATTCTATTCAATCCAAATATATGTACATTTTTATGGTAATTTGGTCAAGTATGTCATTTCATGGTTGTTTTTCACTTTCAAGGGTAATCTTGGTCTTTTTATAGTACGAGGGTACTCTTGTAATTTTACTCCATAGGGTTATTTTTGTAATTTCTTATCCAAATATTCTCGATATTTAACCTTTAAAGAAATTAATCAAAATTTACGGATCCTGAGGTTAATTCATTTATTAATGAATCACTAAACTTATAATTGTTTTCAAACGGTCTTCTAGTTTTTTATGAGAGCTATCCAAGTCTTATACATTTTATTGTCTTTGTATCGTAATTATGTTCGAGTCCAGAAATAATTAATTATACCTAAATGACCAATTATTTCATTGATACAGTTACCAATTATCAACAAGTTCCGGAAAGCATACAAAATGTAGTAAAATATTACATCGATTTTTATGCCATATATATTGACCAATTGAACCCAAATCGATTGCTCTCACACTTGATTTCCATGTCTCATAATATTTCGGATACATAGCAAAAGAATATACGTCAAGAACAGGACTTAATCAGGAGAATTATTCGAATAAAAAATTAAAATGCTGAAAAACAACTTACCAAGTTCGAATTTGATGAAACAAATTCAGACTCAAGAAGTCGAAAAACATAAAATATGATTTTTTGAAAATTCAGACTCAACAAGTTTTGGTCAAAGTTAACGGCCAATGGTCAATGGGTCAAAGTCTACGAACAAGTCTACGGGTTGACTCGGTCAATTCGGCCCAAGTTGACTTGATGGATTGACTCAACTGGTTGACTCACGAGTTGACTTATTTTTTCTGGAAATTTGATAGGGAACGAAGCCCACACACGACGGCGGCGTCAAGGACGGAGGATGGCAACCAAAAGCTCCCAAAACAACCAAAGACCCAAAATCAATCAATATCACAACATAAATCGACCAACAATACGAGAAATAATTAAGAAACTAAATGAAAAGCTCACCCTAACGACGAAGACCGCAACAGTGAGGAGCAAACCTGACTGGGTTTTGGTCTGACGGACTCAGGGACCTTTAAGGTAGAGGTGGTGAGGTGAACTGACATCGAAATCGCTCCCAAACGATGAAAACCAACGGGGAAGTTAAAATCTTTGACAAAGCTTTCGAGGTATCTCTATGGCAGACGACAACGAGGCTCGAATATCAACCACTAGAGTTTTGCTCGGGACGAAGTGGCGCATCGACTCATGCCGACAGTGGCGCTCACTGACGAACTGTGGCTGAGATCAGATACTAGTGGTTTGAATGGTCTTCTTTAATTTCATGATGAACGACGACTATTAGAGGTGGCTGACAGTCGGGGTTTACTTGTGAGGTGATGCCGGTGCGATTGGTAACGACGATAAACGCAACAGCTAGCCGTGGGCCAATGAATGGAGGGGTGACGAGGGTAACAGGTTGGGGATGAAGGAATTCTCTAGAATTCTAATTTTGGGATTTTGCTTCCATAGATGAGAACATTTTTTTAAGACAAAGGTGGCTGAATCAATTATGTTCCAAGTCCCTAAACAATAAAAAGTTCATAAAACGACCCCAAAACTTTCCAAATTTAGCAATTTAGTCCTCAATACTTTTCAATTAAAATAAATTAACTTAAGCAATAAAAATCGGGGTGTGACATTCTCCTTCTGATGCTCTTTTTTGTGTTTGGATGGCTATTTTTTTAAACAGAAAATGTAGCTGAAAGCAAAGAAGACAACAAGACAAGCAGGGAAATTGTGCAACTGTAAGTTGTAATGTAGTTGAGCGGACATAGGGTAAGAGTTTGGGCTAGGTTCGATCTTAGGTTTAAAACTATTGTTCAAGTTTAGTTCAACGGCCTTGATATTGCTTACTCATATTTCATTGGGTGAAAAACGCTAATTTGCTTTAATATTTTATTTCTTAAGATTAAATATTTTATTTTTTAATTTGTTAAATTAATATTTTTTATATCACATATTTTATTAGTTTAGAATGATTACTAGGTAGTATTTGTTCAAAATTTTCTTAACCAATTAACAATGAATACATACATAACTTACCAACGCTCTACTTGAACACGATGATAGTGAGATAAGCAAGGGAAAATAAGTAAATCTTGTAAAAAAAATTATCTTTAAACACTTATAAAAGTAATAAAAGATGTG